CTCTATGGTTTATCTTACTAGGGTACAAGTGAATCTTTCTAAAAGCAGAGTATGAACGTTTTAACTCAATAACTAAGAAAATGACATGAAGGTTATCTTGACCAGTTTGATGAGAGCATTTCAAAATGTACATGAAAACAGCACATTGTACCCCATGATTGCATTAATGCACACAGTTATGCTATAAGAAATTTAAAAAAAAGAAGAATGGAAGAAAAAGTATCCAATGGACTCAGCCCTACCGTGAAACCAATTTATAGCTTTCATATGAAACCTATAACCCAATTATAGCCCAAGAAGAAGGGGAAAGGATAGAGGGAGAGGAGGTGGGGAGAGGATAGGTGAAGGGAGGGTAATTGGTGGGACCACACCTATGGTGCATCTTACAAGGGTACATGTGAAATTACTAAGTGTAGAATATAAATGTCTTAACACAATAACTAAGAAAATGCCATGAAGGCTGTTAACCAGTTTGATGAAAATATTTCATTGCATATAAAACCAGCACATTGTACCTCATGATTGCATTGATGTACACAGCTATGATTTAATAAAAAATAAAATAAAATAAATAAAATGGGCAAGTGATCAGATAGATATTTCTCCAAATCAGAACTACAAATGCCCAAACAAGTGCATGGAAGGATACTCAACATCATTCCTCATCAAGAAAGTAAAAATCAAAACAATAATGAAATACCACTACGATGATCGTCATTTTAAAAAAAGAACAAATGTTGGTGAGGATATGGAAAAGCTGGACCCCCTACAGATTGCCAGTGGGAATGTAAACTGTACAGCCACTGTCAAAACCAGTTTGTTGGTTTCTCAATATGTTAAAATACAGAATTATCATATGACTTAGCAATTATGGTTATAGAAATATGACCTAAAGAATTGAAATCAGGTGCTCAAACAAAAACTCGTATGCAAATGATCATAGCAGACCTATTCACAGTGGCCAAAATGTAGAACTAATGCAAGTGACCATGGATGGGTGAATGGATAAACAAAATGGGGTATCTCTATGCCATAAAATGGAATTAAGTACTGAAACATACTACATCTTATACAAACCCTAAAAACATGGGGTAAGTGAAAGAAGTCAGATGCAAAAGGCCGTATCTGGTATGACTACATCGATACAAAATGTCTAGAACAGGCAAATTCATAGAGACAGAAATCAGACTAATAGTTGCCAGAGGGTGGAGGGAAGGGGAAACGAGAAGTGACCACTTCATAGGCACAAAGTTTTCTTGTGGGATGATAAAAAACTTCTGAAACCTTTCAGGAGGTGGTGATAGTTGCACAACATCCTGTATGTACTTGATGCCACTGAACTGTAGGTTTTTAAATGGCCAAAGTGGTAGACTTTAGGGTTTTTCACAATAGAAGAACATATTACGTATTTCTAAGTCATAAAGCATAACAATAATACCAGCACCCATTCACCCACCACTCAACTTGACAAACAGACAAACAGAACAGCCCAACCGACAAAGCTGCCCATCAGCTGGACCCTGATCAGATCCCTACTCTTCCCGAGCTCCACGAGGGAACCACGATCCTCAACCTTTTGTTCCTTGCTCCTTATACCTTACACTAGTG